TATTGTCGCCATCTATTTTGTAATTATTATCCATAAGTGTGTATTTATTTGCGATAAAACATGAAAGAAATAAGACAACAAATTATTTATAACAATATATTATGTATATACATATATAATTAATTGAGAAATATAGACTCTCTATACTTTATCTTATTTCAAAATTTATCCAAAATATGCATAGAATTATACGTGGATTATTAGATTATACTATTCTATTTAGATATATATCGTAGTATACAAGATTTTATTAGTCGGGAAAGGTATCTATATGTTTTCTATAGGTGTAGACATCTCGTTATATTAACTGTAGGGACCGCGATCGCGTCCGCAGATCCGAGCGCGGGTATGATATTGAAGGCGGCCTGAATGCGCCTGAATCCGGGATCACTCATTTATCTTGTTATTCGCGTGAGTCAATTTAGCATCGACACCGGAGAACCGGCGCCTGTCGCATGTAACACTGATTACACTAAAGCCGCTTTCACGGTGCTTACCATCTTCCGCTGTTATTGGTACGCGGTATACATGCGTATTTGCTTTTAGACACCGTCGGAACTTGATTGTACCGCTTTGTTATTGCAACAAATAGTTTACTGATACTTAGTCGTAAACGCTATTATAACTGATGTGCTAAAGCGGTATTAAACTACAATGGCAACGTTAAACGTATTGATATTTCAAGGATTGGCAAATGAAGATACCACAGGGACCACCCGGTCAGAAGGGAGACCCCGGCACTTGCACCTGCAACGCCACGGCCTTAATGTCTTCCTTTACGATGCCAAAGATGATACAAGGGCCGAAGGGTGAGCCAGGAGTACCCGGACAGGAAGGCAAGCAGGGTCTAATGGGCCTCACGGTAATGATTCTCATTCTCACGATCTTTAAGATTTAATGAAAGCACTAAAAGTGATATATATTTAAGCTACTTATGACTAATTTTAATATAACATCTTTATACATACATATATCTGAAGACATCTAACAATGTAACGAATATTGAAATTATAAAGAACAAATTTTTTGAATCGTTTTTGTTTAAATTACAGGACTTCTTAAATTCTCTTTTCTAGTTCATTTCCTTAACAGTTTTTGGAAAACTATATCACTTTCGGCGCTTTTGTTCGTCGGCTGGATACCGTTATGCACAACTGCATTATGCTTAATTAATGTCTCGATTTCAGGGTGCGGCAGGACCGCCAGGGGAAAGAGGACAGCAGGGTTCGTCCGGGGCTAAAGGTGACAAGGGTGATATTGGAATAGCGGGACCGGAAGGCCCTCAAGGTCAGAAGGGTGAACCAGGTCGGGATGGAATAGCCGGTGAAAAGGGTGCGCAAGGTCCGCCGGGGCCGCCCGGAAAAGGAGAATTTTCTGGCTATGACGTAAGTAGATTGCCACGCTTGAATATGATCTGTCATGCCGAGGCCGAAAGCCAAGTTAAAATATTTTCTCCGGCGCCTTCTCCGCGGCTTACATTCGCCATTTCTGCTTATCCCCGCGAGATTTTCTTTATATTCGCTACTTTCGCGATACGATAAGTTGTATAAAACTTTCATTGAGATTCGTATATACTTTTTATTATTGTTAACCACTAATGGTCGCGCATATTGTAACGGGAAAGGATACGACGATAACGGTTATCTATAAAAAAATCTTTATCTTTTATACTTTATTAAATAAGAAATTGGATTCTTTCAACAAAGTACCTACAAATGACGCAACATTATATAAAGCTTTTGTGTGTTAGCTATTTATATAAATGATACAACTACACATTTGGAATAATAACAGCGAATGACTATTGTCATCGTTATGGAATTAAAAATTTAATATATTCTATTATCGTCAACTGAAAGAGAAGCTAGAAGGAAAAGTGGAATGTTTGCCTAAATGGTTTCTGCTGGATATAACAGTGACATGAAAACGAAGACCGGACGAATGGAAGGGTAATGTTAACGCAAGAGATATGACATTGAGAAATTTGCTAGAGGAGAACATTTATTGTGTACGCGATTACCGCGAAGTAGAGGAAATTCAAGCGCGCTCGACCGTACGAAGTCGTCGCTATAATAAGTAGATAAGTATCTCCATTCAAGAAATTTTCATTATCCTCGTATGAATCTAGCTCAGTCGTATTATTCGCTATTTTCCCGAAATGGACACGCGGCAGCGAGAAACTCGGAGGGAAATGGAGGGCCATATCTTCTCTCGCGGAATCGTCGAGCTATTATCAAAAGTATGCTATTTAAACATCGCATTCGACGTCATCCACTGTATATCAACTCAGCAAAGTATCCCAGTTAACCATTTTTCTTCTTCATATTTGCGGATTATCATTGCGGATTATATGAAAACTGAAAACTACTTGAACGAATATTTAATATTTGTTAAAATAACAGGAAATGGGCTCATCTTTTTAAATAAACTTTTCTCAGACAAATTGTATAATAAGAATTGTTCGCGTTGCGAATAATTCTGTTATTTGAGTTATATTTGAAAGAAATGCGCAATTTTAGTTTTGAAGAACGATGAGTTTCAGTCAAGACGCACAACGTAGCACTTGTTACATCTCCTAGATTTTTATTATTCAATATAAAAGACCGAAATTAAATTAACGAAATTACATTATAGGATAAAGGATATTTATGACATTAATCGTATAAGAAATTTCGATGTTCCTATAGAGCTAGACGATCCAATTTATATCTTTATCTAGTTATTGAGTATTATTACTATTCCGCATGCTATCGCATTTCGAAGTGCATGAAAATGCACGCAAAGGTGTATCCCAAACCACCGTCGGGCACGTCGCAGTATACTGCTCCCCATGCAACCGCTTTTACGTGTACCGAAACGACAACTACAGCGATCCTGTCCCCACTCGACAAGAAATTCGTTGAATAGGAATGGAACGCGTATCGCCCCGCGGGGAATAAGAAACTGTGCACGTAATAACGGCCAAGCTGTAAGTCCGATCCTCAGCCTCCTCCCTTTTCTCGTTCGCGTTTCCCGTTGAATATCCTCTCTCTTTCTCGCTTTCTCTCCCTATTTCATTGCGGTTTGTCCCGACCCATTCTTAAAAAGTAAAAACGCGGCGAATCTCACTCGGTTTTTTTGCCAGCTACAAAAATGGTCCCGAATCGCACTGACAGGCCTGCGATATTAAAACGATGTACAGCGTAGAGCAATACATCTACATACATGCGATATTAACGGCAGTAAAAGTTTTAGCGTGAGTTTCGTATGAATGAATGTGATTTCGGGGATGCTGCACGGGATATAACACGAAAAATTCCTGACCTCTCTTCCCACATTTTTCCCGATAAACAAAACTCTTTTCTTCGCCCGACCTTGCAACGAAGTATAGTTGCAACATTTCCAACTTTCTCCGTAACGATAGCTATAACGTTTCAAAGAGTATAAAAGAATATTCCCCCGATAATGAAAAAGTAAAAAGACTGGTGCTAAAGAAGTAAAAGAAAACAACTTTATTGTTTTTATTATCTATCATATTTGCTATTATTATATTTGCTATAAGCATAATATCTAACAAAACGAAACAATAATATTGTCCATTGAATATAATTTCGTTATCTTATTTTTTTGTTCCTCGCGCTATCATGTAATATTCACAAGTTTTTTTTCAATTTTGCTTTTATTACTTTTCCAGTATTCTACATTTGAAATACCTTTATCATCTTTTCCGATGTTTTCCAACTTGCAATAACTTTGGGGCAAACATCGATTTTGGCAATGCTCGAGTAGCGCTGCATAGAACAAGCTAAATCTACTCAAGATTGATATTCCGCGCTGTCAAAGTCAGCGGTAGTGGTTCAATTCCTGAAACCGTTTCTGGCCACGGGAGAGAAAAGAAATCTCCGTGCTGTCGCGGGAACGTAACGATCCTGTCGCACCTCAAACCGTCAATTTACCCCCAGAGATGTGGTCGTTTTTCACCTTGTTCTCTTGTTACGCGGTTTTCGCGGTGGAAAGCGCAACGACGGCGACGTCGCGCAAAAATATAGTGGCGAGCGGTGTGGCAGAACGGAGGGCATCATCGCCGCGCTATCGAACCGAATCGCTCCGCTTTATCAACGACATAAACCCGTGACGCGGATGCACCCGCATATCGCTGGAAGATCGGCGGTGACGCAATATTTATCCCACCCTCATGCCCGGTTACGAAGATGTAAAAAAATAAAAGGACAAAAGAGAGAGAGAGAATGCAGTGCCGCGCGTTACGGTTTTCTGTTTTCATGCCGGTGGCACGCTTCCAAATGTTACACCGCCGGAAAAAAAAGCCGAGTTGACCTAGCCTGGTAATTGTTGAGACGTCGCAGAGCGGAGGAAAAATCTCGTTACTTTCGGAGCTGAGAGAGCGCGGAAAACATTGGGAACTTCCTGCTGTTGCAATCGTACTCCGGATAATAATCCATCGCAGGATTATTATATATTTGAATTTTATATTATGATAAATGAATTCGATAAATGTCATTAATGTATAATATTATATAATTCTTCGATTAAATTCTATCGCTTATTGTAAGCACTTAATCCGTTTGATATCGTATGACAATTTCAAATTTTATTAAACTTTATTAATCTAAAAAACACACGAAATGATAACATAATATAGACATGTCGATACGATAATCTCAAAGAACGATTTCATATTTGATTCTAATCTAAATAAATCCCAGAGATGGAGAGTATTTTTATTTTGAATATATGAAGTTATACGTGACAAAAATCCTAAATCTCATTTCGCTTATACAGGTTCTTTCTTATAAAGAATTGAGCAGAAAAATGGAAAAAATGATTACTTCGTGAATTAGATTATATACACGTCATATCTATCTACGCGCAATAAATTCTCGCATTGTGACAATGCGGCAATATCAATGATTCAAGCAACTATAAAAGAGACATATGTCTTTACGACCTAACGAATCGATAAGCTTGCAGTTTTGCTTAGGGACCGAGGAAAACTACGAGCTGCAACTGCAACATAACGATCTGTACAGTCGGATATACATGTCGTTGAATATAGGACGATCTGAAACAATAGAACTGTGCTGCTAGTAGTTAATTCCTATTTAGCGCCCGGACGAATGTACGTCATTGATAAAGATTCTCAAGAAGCAGATGGCGTTCAAATTGTTATAATATTCGCAATTGTTGATTTTAACAAAAAAACGTTGCTCGCATTTATTAATCTTTTTCCAAAAAGGATTTAATCTATCTCCCATGAAACATGCTTGTATCTCATTTAATAAAAACTGAACCGTATGAAAAAGATCTAAATTAAAACTTACCGATATCATGTATATTCTTTTACCTGTATTCTTTAATGATAGATTCTCTGCTTGAGGTGAAAACGACTTTTATTCAATAAAAACGTCAGACGTATGTAGTTTTTAAATACTTACAGATTATGGTAATGATATATTTTCAGGGAATTCGATCAAATACATCTTATTAAATTATTTCAAATCAGATAAGTGTTATTTGAGTCTTTCTTACTAGGCGTTGGAAGAGTATTAAATTATAGATTTTAACTCGTACATTTAATCATATAATATTTATGATATTTTTCAGTTTCGATTGATTCGATTTCGACTTTTACGTTATTGCGGATGGTAACACATTTAGAATCTCCTTAAAATTATTCCAATCTCTGCAATACGAAGCACTAAAGAACATCAGGATCGGTTAGGTCTACAAATAACTCAATCGTCACTGCTCGATCGCGGAAATACAGAATCCAAATGGAACGAGTTAGAGTACGAGTACGTATCTGAACAAGGCCTAAATACTGTACGGTAGAGACCAACCTTGTCGTCGAGACAATTCATGCAAAGACAGATACCCGCGCGCACACGCACACAGTAACGGTTATCTTACGTGACCCCGCCTCGCACCCGGTCCTTCCTCGGATGTGCGAGAGCCCGATTTCCCCGGGGAATACAGAAACCAATTTCTAGGCTGCCTACTGCATGTGCCGGCTAGGTGTATGCCAGGTAGGAAGGAAGGAAGGAAGGCTTGGAGAGATGCGCGGGTGTTGCGTCCCGGAATGTCGTTGAAGACGGGCCAATAATACTCAATTCAGATGTTCGCGCGTTTCGATGTGTGCATTTGTGTGCGGGCGCCGATCGGTTCGGCAGATGTTTCCCAGTGAGAGCGATCGCGCGGACTGGAATTTGAATGAACAGAACCGAGTGGAAGAGAAAATTCGGAAATTGTATTAAGGCCACACCACGATGTATTACCGCCAGAGAACTGCTTTAAAGTAGAAGCGGATTTATAGGTATGTGCTATGTACATGGTAGAGAGTAGAATTCAGTGCGCGCGAATAAAATGCCATTGAATTCTAACAGAAAAATATATACGAAATGAACTGCCTAATTTTACGACCCTAAGAGAGAGAGAGAGAGAGGTCTGGATGAATTTCACTACGAACAAGACCCGTTAAATATTAATTGTATAAATGTGCAAATAGCAAACACTAGGTGCATACACAATATCAATATGAAACATTAATGAATTGCGAAGCATGTCGTTAATTAAACCAAATAGTGTCGTTATTTGCTAACACGTTTCCAAACAACAAATCATTTATTACAAAATAATAAAATGGATACATAAATAATTCTCATAATTTTATAAAGAAGGAGAACGACATATATGTATGCGCCCATATATGTAGTTTGTGAATATAAAAAATGGGAAAGAAGCTGTATATATATCGTTGCTCTATCAATAGCCGAAGAAGTCTAAAAGTTTCAAACCGTTCGTGAGAAGCTCTGAATAGATATGACGAGCTATGAAACGAACGGTGGCACTGATATATAGATATACAGAAATCGCAGCGACATGATTTATAGCGAAATACCGTACTAATGCGAAAAAGAGAATAATCGCTTCAGAATGCAGGCGACAGGAAGAAAATATTAAAAAAAAAAGTTTGAAAGTATTTTCTGTACTAACATGTTTCGTTGGATTTAAAGAATCTACTGACAATGAGTATCATGAATTACCGAGTGATAATTAATCTTTCCTCGCACATAGAATCGTTTCAAACATGAGATATTTATAAATGATACAGCATATTAATTTCGATTAAATAAAACTTATAAATATAACATAGCTCAGTTACATATGCAATCTTTAAAACATTTAAGTATATAAAATACATGTATTACTTATGAATAATTATTTTTCTAACACCCACACATTATTTATATTTTCTAATAAATTAGAAGGTTTCAAAGAAATAAGAGAAAATCTCCTTTTTCATTATTTTGAACATGCCTTACCTCATCTTTGACAAAATTCAAATTACATATCGAGCGAAGGAAACTTGCGTATTCAAGAATGAAATTCGCACTTACGATTCTATCGCGCGATTTGATTTACGCTTTACGCTAAAGCTATTGCGAATCACGCGCCATCAACAATTGTTCGCACAACAATTGTTCACTGCTAATCAATGGCGATGCAAACGTATAGACGGTAGTGTCAGGCCGGCCCGCAAGGCTTTCAGTCTCGCAACGTTATTCCAACGATCTAACGGGGAAATTTCGATTATTATGCGCATGCAGCCCAGTTGGAAACCTCGAAATATTTACAGAGTGAGTACGAACCGGAGCATTCTGATTGCATCGTAAATACCTTCCCCGTATTTGAAATTCCTTTTCCAACTTATAAGATCCTAACAAATAGTTCACGTGTGTAACTTCATCAATTACACATAAAATAATCTCTTGTTTAAATACTTGTCTATCTAGCCGGAAGGTATCACAATGAGGCCAGGACTTCCAGGGCAAAAGGGTGAGCCAGGCATTTCAGGAAATCCCGGGCCTAAAGGCGAGTCTGGAATACCCGGATCCAAAGGTATCAAAGGCGAACCCGGGCACAAAGGTGTTAAGGGCGATCATGGGAAAGACGGTTCTAGAGGAATTCAGGGTTTCAAGGGTGAACCTGGCGCGCCCGGTGCACCTGGGTTGCCTGGGGCACCCGGTGAAAACGGACGACCGGCGGAGAAGGGAGCTAAGGGTGACACGGGACCTGAAGGAAAACTGGGACCTCCAGGACCACCCGGTTCACCGGGTGTGAGCGGATCCGGTGGCATAAATGTGGGAGATTTAGGTGAGCAGATATAAAGGTTTTTCTTTATACACAGCAATATCGAATTTAATCCAATATTCATTCTATAATTCATTTATTTCATTATTGCTTTTTTTCCCGCAACGTTACCTTTTATATAACAAGTATATAGTTATCCGAAATTTTTTCATTAAGTGTTCTATTAGTCTTAACTACGAAATTACGACAAAGTCAGTCTGACATTGATAAAATATTAAATAAAATTAACTAAATGATATTATAATTGCTTTATAAAAGCATTGGCAATTCTATTATTTATTACTTATGTTTATATTATTTTATTATTATTTCTCAATGAATGAAACGATAAGACTTAAAAAAAATATCATAAAAAGCCAAGACACAATTTCTCTCGATTTTCTTTGCTATTTTATACAATATCAGATGTGATTCTCCAGCTGAAACTAAGGATTATTAAAGATGTTTTCTCACGATGAAGAAATTCAATATCTATTGCGTCAAGACGAAGGGCAACAAAATGTAACGTTTCAAATATTTAATCAAGGATTTGGCACGAAAGGGGACAAGGGCAATAGTGGAGCGCCCGGGTACCAGGGTGATAAGGGCACGAAAGGCGAAAAGGGCGATAAGGGTGGCGGCGGACCAGCTGGTATTCCCGGAATAAACGGTATTCAAGGACCTCAAGGAGATAAAGGCGAACCGGGTAAAGACGGAGTATCAGGATTACCCGGCATACCTGGCGCTAAAGGTGAGAGAGGTGAGAGAGGTCCTCCTGGAGCCACTACCGTCGCCAATTCCGGAGACTATATCACCATCAAAGGTGAGAAAGGCGCCGAAGGAAAACGGGGCAGGAGGGGACGACCCGGTCCGCCGGGTCCTGTGGGTCCTCCCGGAAAACCAGGAACTATGGGAGAAATCGGTCTACCAGGATGGATGGTACGTACTTTGATTCATTATCTCACTTTACGTTATAATAAAACTAATCTACTAATCAAATAGTAACTAACTAAATTAATAGCTACTAATGAAGTAATAATAATGTGAAATAATGTTAAATGACAGATAATAATGAAATAATATTAAAACAATAATAATAATATAGCAATATTGTCGATAGTATTTAATATATTATTCCAATTATTAATACTACGTTAACATTCAATATTACTGACAACAGCATATATCATAAATATTCTATAATAGCGTTATCTTGAGATATCTCATTTCTAAAGAAATGCTATTTTTATCTTTTTCATCACGCCAACCGAAGAACTCGATGAAGGTGAGCTTTTAATCAAACCGCCGCATGAAACAATATGAATTCTGCAGAAGCACTAAATGCAACATTATTTTTTTTAATTCTTAGGTCGTCGCGTCGTAGATAATTATTACGAGCGTTTTTCTTGTATCTTTTTATAAGATTTTAAGGCAGATATAGTCGCCCGCGCCGCAGTTAAGAGAGAAAAACATTTATTAAACGTTTAAACGCAGATCAAAATTATATCATTACACGTCGGCTCTGTGTCACAACAACCAAATCCCTTGCGTTAATTAAAACGCAAACGAGCGATTCATCTGTCACTGTCTTCCGCAGGGTCGTCCTGGGACTCCTGGAATTCCGGGAAATAGCGGACCAATGGGACCCAAGGGAGAAAAGGGGGAACCTGGCGCACCGAGTCCTTACGGTGTTTCTGTCGGTGTAAGTATAACTTCCAGTTTCTTGTCGTGGTGTCGCCCGTGTAAACTTCTCTCGTGCACGAACTCTCGTGAACTTCACATACCTATAAATCCAAGCGCCTACCAAACGGCGAAAAGCGAAAATCGAAAAATTAAACCGAGCCTTCCCTTCGCAACAGAATTTCACGCGAGTGAGTACCTAACTTAACTTGTCGGTCGATCGTCCGCGAACAGTGAGAACGAGAACAAGAAATGTTGCCCTTTGTTTCTAAGGGAAAAGAGAAAGATGGGGGGAGGAAAAGGTGCGGAAATAAAAATAATGGTTTTCACCTCGCACGGTTTCGGTCTGGCAGATTAAAGTGGCGGGGCATATATATCCTTGTGAATAGGACGATGCGGAAGTCTTTGAACAACGGGCGGCGCAACGCGAGTGATGGAAATTAATGCAAAGAGTGCGCCTGGCGTGCTCCCTTTTTTTTCGCGTCTTCGTCTCGTTGGATTTATTCGTTTGCGCCGAACAGAAATTTTCTCCGCCGCGGTGCACAGAGTTTCGCGAGCTGTCACGGCCGACAACTGACAAATAACGCATGCTGATACGCGCGATATCGCCCCGCTTTGCTGCGAGCTGCGAGCTTGTATGCGTGGTGCAGCGTATTCACGTACGCCAGAGTCGCCAGACGTACCCAAATAACAATCCTTTTAAATATTACAACATCTTGTTACGGAGTAAAGCACTAACAATTAAAATGAGAAAATAAAGTATGACAAAAACCTAATATACGGACTGTCCGGACTGAACAATTTTAGAAAGTATATTTTTTTATTTTTTTATTGAAACTAATCTTCCCTTGATTAAAATTATAAGAAATGCTTTATTATAAAAATAACAGCTTTTTAAGGCTCGGATTAGGGTTTAAAGCCTGTAAATAAAAAACGGGATTTTATTTTCCAATTTAATTTTAACTTTACCTTGATTAGCTTTATTTCTACTATTTCCTATAAAATTTATTCG